CAAGGACATGAAGATCCTAGGCAGTAGAAACACCACTGCCTGTCACATGATACGCGAATGCCCCCTTACTGAATCAATTGGTACCGCGTGTGCGCATGAAAAATTAAATTTCATAGATCTTTAAGTTAATTTGAATTCTATCTTCAGTCATTTAATTTCTACCATTTAGTCTCCTATTTATTTTACTTCCTCATTTTTCTTCCATTTCTTTCACCTGGTTTACCTTTATATTTTTTTGAAAGATGTTATGATCCTGGGTCCATAAGTTCCTTGCTTATGTTGCATTTTATCATAGCAACGCTTTAATTATTCAGCTGCTTGTCTTTGTTACTGTGACTATGATATCTCCTTTATACATCGTTCATTTATGCGGAAGAAGAAGAGCTGATGTCGGCTCCAAAAGCTTCACTTATTAAATATACTTTCTAGTCAAAGTTTTGTTTATTTATTTAAGCGTTTTATATTTTATCAAGCTCACGACTCTCGTAACCAAAAATATACAGTTAAGATTTGAATCCGGGGATAACATGATTTGCCTCAAGTTTTACTATTGTTGCGGAAACTCGTAGATAACCTTGCTATGTGAATGGAAGCAACGGAGCACTGATCTGACTATATGTTGGTGAATTACATTGATGAGTTTATCCTTAAAAGATAATTGCCAGTCTCCCTCATCTCACATCCTCGATCGTGTTCAGTCAGATACTTCATATTCTGACAGAGGTTGGCGCGGTGAGACCTGCATCCTCTATAGCTGTTGGGATAAGTCAGGAGTGGAAAGGACGCGAGCACTCAGAGTTTCTGTACATCAACAGTCAGTATCGCAAAGTTTTCCAAATAGGTCGAAGAGTGAAATTGGCAACCTCGCTGTTGGTGACAGCACCATCTGTGTGTGAACTCTCAAAGCGCCGATGAGTCCTTCAAGTTTGAACGACCTCACCGGTTCGATGCTCCGTCGATAGGTACCGTAGCGAGTATACGAGTTCTAGGTCCCGCGTCAGCCTGGAAATCGTCACTTTCGTAAGTGTTTGCACAACATAGCATCTCATTGACGGCGGTGGTCAAGTTGGACACCCGTTGACCAGCACGTGTCATTGTCGATGACCCAGATCGTCGCCTCGCCACTGAAATGAATCTTCGTAAAGCGCCTAATCGCCGTGTTCGCACCAATTTCCGTAAGCGGTTTCCATCGACGCTCGATGAACCATTGTCCCCCGGGCCGGCCTGCAACAATGAGGCGACCGCGCGGGTCCGTCTGTGGTCAGTACGAGTGACCTTCGGTCATCGGAACGTGACGGGTAAGGTGTGAATGATTAATTGTTTCTTCTCGCTTTGCTGGTCGGCAGTCAGGCTTTAGCCGTGCCGATCTACCATCAAACCGCTGCGACTCGACTCGTTGTTTCCCAACACCGTGCCCGGTGCACAGCTGCACGTCCACTCTGCCGGACAATGCTCCTCAGCAGATGCGCCCCGCCGAGGCGAACAGAATCGAAGCCCCGCCGACCAACCACAATGACCGGCGGCAGACCTTCTTATGGCTACCGGTGGTCGTTGGTCTTGCTGCCAAGCCAAGCGACCGACGGCATGAGTGGGAAAGCCGCTCAGTTGGGCACAATGTCGGCTAGCCGCTAGGCTACGCATTGTCACGGTACAAACGACAGAATGGCCGCCTTCAGCCGATGCCTTAGCCAGACTGGCACGAAAAGCAAAATCACATGTAGTAGACTGTCGTAACAGTAGTATTGATTAAATATGATTTATTAACCGGACATAAAACAAAATTGGTCAGCAGATGCAAAGACACAGATTTGTCGAGATTTTGACACATGAAATCGAAGAGCTATCTGCGTGGCAGGCACTGATATGGGTATATATGAAAACAACGTGTTACCGGATACATGTTTCGACCTGAATCTCAAAACCTCATTGGGAGGTTGGTTCGCAAAGCCTGTTCCCCAAATATTTGACTACTGTATGATGTTACTCGTGGATGCACGCTGAAAGCAATATGACACCTGAATCAGCGGATATCTGAAGAACAGTCTATCTTATGCCGTGTTAAGAAACCGTCCTCTGACACACTGTCAACATAACTTCAATCTGCTAACAAAACTCAGGTCGGCGACTCTTCATTTCTGCTGGTTTTTCTTTCTGGAGTAGAGACACTGGTGAAAATCCAAGAACGTCGTGTAGAAACCTCTCAGCAAATCCATTTCGGCGGTTGTCAGCGATTTTCCTCAGTGGACAGCATGTGACGTTGCAACGCTACACGGGAAAAGGCACTGACAACAACCTGCCCGGGAAAAATGTCAGAAAAGCTCAGAATTTGGCGCCTTGTCTGATCAGACAAAACGGCCCAGCAGGAGAATGGAAGTGTGTTGAAGGCTGTTCTTGTGTGGGAGC